GGGGGGGGAGGGGGGTCGCCCTGTGCCTGGTCCCTCCAAACTGGAGCCCAGAGCTGCCTCTCCAGTGGGGGGCTCCCCCGGGACCCCGCCTCCCTATTTTGATTTCAGTGCCTTGCCTAGACCTCTCATTAGGGAACTCTGCCTTCTGCCGCCCCTGCCCCATTTCTCTTCACATCTAGAACAGAAAGGCAGCACCAAATCTCCAGGCCAAGGCAGGAGCTTCTGTTGGGGGGCCGCAGGCAGATCCCCCCCCCCCAGCAGCCCACGCCCTTGAGGTCAGGACCCTGGGTTGAAATTGCTGGGCAGAGTCTGCGTCTGTTCTGTTACAGCCCAGCTTTAGTCCTCCTGGCTCATCCACACAACAAGAGGTGCCCCTTCCCCATCTACCCTTGTGGCTACTGCCCAGGAGGCCTCACCCTCAGATCAGTGGGGTGGGGAGGCTGCTGAGATGGCAACACCAAGATAACGAAGACCAAGACCAGGCCACTATGCCCAGAGTTGCCCAGCGGTGCACCCGAAAATTCAATGAAAACGTCTGTACTTACCCTTCTCCTATTACATTCCCTCCTGCTTAAGGACAAAGCAAATTAAATCATCCTGCCGCCCCAGGCTCCAAACCAAAATTTGGATGCAAATGTATTAGCATCATAAAGCCCAGGTTGATTAATGTGATAGTCTGGAGCCATGCATAGCCATGGAGCTGGGCAGCTGTAGCCTGCCGGGGCCGGCCTGCCTGCCACCACAGGGGGAGCAGCCCCAGGCCCGAGGGAGCCAGGACCCTGATGTCTCACTGCTGGGTTCCTCATGCTGGCTGTCCTGCTGGAGGTCAGATGGGAACACCATCCTCTACCCCCAGACCTGGACTCCTGACAGCCAGAAACCCCCCAGATGTTTTCTATCACCTTGGTGAGGTAGGCAAGGTGGCTTCTGATTTCCATTTTACAGGTGGGCCCAGAGTCATCATGGGCCAATGGGTGGGGACAGAAAAGGCCACCCAAGGGCAGACACCCAAGGTGGGAGCCAACACTCCACCTCACTCCCTGTGTGCATGACATGTCTGTCTGACCTACCTGAGCCCCAGAGCTTATGCTGGTAGCTCCTGACCTGTTCCTCACCTGAGGCTTATAGGTGGAGCAGATGGCAGGCACAAGGCATCATGGAGTTGTGGAAGCTGGGTAGTGGGCACTTCACCAGGCCCTGGGCCACACAGCTGGTCTCACCACGTGGGTGCCAGGAGCAGTCTCAGCAACAGGCAGAGGCTGATGTCCACATGAGAGGACACACACACACTACCCACCCCCTCCACACACACACACACACACACTACCACCACCACCTCATTAGGAGCGAGCCCAGAGCAGCGGAGTCTGGCATTGTAGGGCCTGGGGCCTGAGATGGTGGAAACAAGTTAGATCCCTGCCCCAGCCACACTGAGAGTGTGGGCCATCCTAAACAAAGAGCCAGGACTTAGAGGAACTTTTTGATCCCTTCTGGGACCATTGGGGTGAGTGACAGGCTGGGAAAAGGCGAAGGAACAGTGATTACATGCCTGGTATGTACAAAGCACGGTACTGGGCACTCCCCCGTGAGCCTCAGCAGCAGTATCGATGGACTCAGATCTGCCAGAGACAGACCCCCACACTCCGTCCCTCCATCCCTGTAGAATTGGACGGGGACACCTATGTCCTGACTGGGCACTTAGTTCAGTGATCATCACAGAAGTGTCCAGTAAAGCTGTTGCTGCCTGATGTCTATGTTGTCATCCTCTAGCTGTAACTGTGCTTATAACCAGGGCCCAGGACTCATGTAAGACACATGGTATCCACCCCAGACACCTGCTTGGTGTCCTTATCTCCTAAAAAACCAGATGGTGGTACCATGATTGCTTGTTACAGCTCAGAGACAAGAAGTGAACAAGTTCTTCAGGGTCCAGAGAGCTTCGGGAGGAGGGCACTACTTGGTTCCCCCTAGGAAATTTAGGCTACCTGGTGTGGTACTATAGGATCAGCCCTGGACTGTGAACCACAAAGTCAGCTGTTCAAACCCACCAGCCACTCCTTGGAAACCCTATACATGGTCACTGAGTCGGAACCCATTTGGCGCACTTAACGGGAAACTTAAGGACAAAGCCCCCTCCCAAAGAGTTACACTGAGGCCAGGCTGGAGTCCAGCGACCCTCACAGAGGACTTCGTGCCTCTCCACCACCCGCCTCTCTGGTAAAAGATGCTGTGGACCTGTCACTGCTCAGCTAAACTGAGAAAAACCTCTGGCAGCAGCAGGAGGAACCAGGGTTAATAAACTCAACAGCTGAGATTAGTGCAAAGGCCTCGGTGTCTCTGTCCCACAAAGAAAATGGCGTGGGGATCAGACTTGCTCTTTGCTACAGTCAGGCCCTTGTTTGTCTATAGCTTCTGGTCATTTGTCCGGGCACTCCGCTTTCCTCTCTGCCACACTGTCTGCACTCCCTCAGGGAGGCAGGAACAAGGGCCCGCCAGCAGGAATCTCTTCTCATCCAGCCTGCTCACCTACAAGTCGTTCCTAGAGAAGGGATAAGGCAGCCAAGCGGCTGGCCCAAAAGCAGGTCAGGTCCCTCCTTGGAAGCAGCCAGTCAGCAGCAGCCGTAGGCTTCTAATGATCTTTCCAGCACGCAGTTCTTAACAATCACTGGGCAGTGAACACCCGCCTCACCTGCTGCTACCTTCCACTGGCGCTCCCCTCAGCTCCACGCAGAGAGGAAGTAAGGGGGAGGCGGGGAGGGGACATTAGATAAATCTTTTCACACCCAGTGGCTCAAGTCAGTCATGTTCTTTCCAGAGCTCTGGCCTCTAGCACTCACCTAAGTTCACACTCTACCTGTTGTAGGGACCCGTGACCACACTATCTCAGACAGCTCGCAGAGACTATGCAAATGCTTCAAGGAGCCCTGGTGGTACAATGGTTGAGTGCTTACCCACAAACCAAAAGGTCGGCAGTTCAAACCCACCAATGGCTAAAAAGACCTAGTGATTTGTTCTTGTAAAAAGATGGCAGCCTAGAAAACCCTACGGAGCAGTTGTATGCCGCCCTCTAGTCACGTGACTCAGAATGAACTTGCTGGTACCCAACAACAAATGGCGGTCCACCATCCTTGGGAGAGCCAGACTTCCAGCCAAGAACAGGAAGGCTTAGGACTCCCCCAGAGGGATTCAGTGTACTGGAAACTTCCGACACCCTACCTGGTGTGGCACTGTAGGATAAGCACGGGATTGCTCATTGCAGTTGCAAGGCTGGTGGTTTAAACTCACTTTGGAAACCCTATAAAAGGTCACTTGAGTCAGAACTGACTCTTGGCTCGTCATCACTTAACAACCATTTCAGCTGTTCTCACCCTTAAAGTCAAACTAATATTTCCAGTTGTGTGACCCCAGCGGCAGGGTCTGCAGACCAAAGAGGAAACCAAGCTTGTCTTGGGAAAGAGCCCTACCCAAACTCGTATTCTCACTCCAGCATCCATTCCCCTTGGTAGAGAGTTAATGTCTACCCAGCCTCAAGCCACCTCATGAAGTCTCTGGCTTCATGCCCCCAGCAGTTAGCACCCACTGTGTGTGGAGTGATGGGGCAGTGGACGCTTCAGTTTTCAGAGTCTTTGTTAAGTGCCATGGAGTTGATTACGACCCATAGCAACCTTGTATAGGGTTTTGGAGGAGCAGTTAGTGAGCTTGAACTGCCAACATTGCAGTTCAAACTGCTTTGCAGTCTGGCGCATTAACCTACAGCGCCACACCAGGACCCCCTACACTGAGTGGTAGTTGGGGTTAAATACAATTGCAGATGTAATTGAAATAAAGAGCTCAAATAAGGACTAGGGCCAATGAGCGGTGGCAGAGAAAGACGGTGGGGTGGAAGGATGCGTGAATGCTTTCACCTGGCTCACCCTGCCCCCCTCAGAGGTCACGGTGGCCACGAAGATTGCAACATGCCCAGTAGGTCCCTGTGACAGCAGCCAGTAATGCTGTCAGGGCCTCCCAGGTGGCCCTGGAAGGAACCACTCTGTTCAAGGAGACAGGATGGACCCCATCCATCACCACTAGAGTCTCCAGGCTGAGCACGTTTATCACATCCGGTGCCATGGGTAGGCAGGTGCTGGGCTGAATACCAAGTGCCTTCTTCTGCCCACGCCCCTCCCAGGTACTCTAGAGGCAAACTCGTACCCAGAGGGAGGTGCTTGCCTGCTCCAAGCTGCAGTGCGCCAGGGATACTCCCACAATGCTGCAGTGTGCCCTCTCCAGGAAGTGTAGAATGAGGCAGCAGGGCCCAGTGAGTTGTAAAAGGGTGTTTAATGTCCCATGCTCCAATGGGAAGAAACTCCATCTGGCTGTAATAACAATCCAGACAGCCTTGCTCACCCTGAGTTCCAACCCCAAGCGCCACGTCAAACCCACAGCTCACACCAGGATGGGAGACCCTGGTGGGTCGGACACAGCTAATCCCCAGGAATCCAGGCTGAGTAGGAGGGCTCTGCACGGGGTGGGGGTGGGGGAGGACAGCAGCACCACAACACTGCTGTGGCCACGGAATTGACCAGGAAGACATTGTCACTAGGGCCCCAGCACCAGGATTCCTGGTAGAAGCCAGAAGAGCCCCAGCTTGCCTGTCCCCTAAGCCTGGCAGTGCCAGGCAGAGTCCAGCTGTCCAGAAAGAACGACACTCTTGCTGTCCACCTCACACTTCAGACTCCAGACTGGAGAAACGCCTCCAGGTGCAAGGGCCTGGGAGGCCATGTGCTCCACAGGCCATCCTGCAGACTTCGTGCAGCCCCCCACTGTCCCTGTAGCCTGTGCTTAGTCCCAGGGTCCTGCCCCTGTACCCCTGAGGTCCCCAACCCCCAGGGAGCCAGGAGCTGTGACTGGCACAGGGTGGGAGGTGAGAGCAGACAGTGCCCCAGCAAAGCGGTAGATGGGCATGGGCGTGGAGGCAGGCGTGTTGTCCGTGAGGCCACGTGGGGATCCCTGCTAGTACGTCCCTCTGGCAGGCCTCTCGGTAGGACGGCAGCCGCAGCGAATGCGCCAGGCGCCTGCAGGCCAGCCGGGCGTCACTACAGGCGCAGGTAGGCCCTACGCACGCGGCAGGCAGAGAGCTGGGCCGAGTGAAGGCGGCGGCCACCGAGCTGGGCAGGGAGGCGTGGCGCGGTCGGGGACTGCGGGCCCAGGCGGCGCGCAGCAGGGCTTCCCGTCGGGCCAATTGTTCCCGCCCTAGCAGCGGCAGGTCCTCCGGTTCGGGAGGCTCCGGGAAGAGCGGGAGGAAGGGTTGTCCTGCCCGGTTAGCTCGCGGGAAGGACCTGTAGGGACAGCGCGCAGGGGACAGGGGGCGCTCTGGCAGCGCTCGCCGCTCAGAAGCCGAGAGGTACCGCCCGCCACGTCCGGTCCGCGCCGGCCACCTGGTGTTCCAGGCCGGCCGGCCAGTTGCCAGGGGGTCGTTGGGCAAGGGCGGTGCGGTTGTCGGAGGGCAGCCCGGGGGCTGTGGCCCCCGGCGCACTAGCGCGGCGCTGCCCCCGTCGGGCGGCCCCCAGGTCTTAGGACTAGGCTCCGGCGGCGCGCGGCGGCCGGCCCAGTTCTCGATGGTGCGCGTGGCACGGTCCAGAGAGCTGCTCACGCCCGCCGTGGTCACCATGTCGCGCGCCGCCTGCAGCATCTTGAGCACGCTGGCCTGGGCTGAGCTGGCTGTGAGGTCCGGGCTGGGAGGCTGCGAGGGGCGGGCCAGGCTTTGCACGCCACTGAAGCAGCTATAGATGCCCTAGGTACAAGTTAGAGGGCGCAAGGCTGTGAGGCGCGCTAGGCTCTCCAGATAGCCTCGCTGACCCCATCATCTCCCCATCGGGAACCAGCCTTCTCTCGGAAGCCGTTGTGGTAAATGCCCTGAGAGTCTACAAACTCCCAAGAAAGAGACTTATTCTCCTACAATCACCCAGCTGCTAAATGGCAGAATAAGAATTCGAATCCCATCGAACTGACTCCCAACCCCAGCTCTAGGTCCCACTGGATGGCCTAAGAAAGATTCTCACCTGCTGGCAGGCCCCACCTCTTCCCAACAGAGTTTTCCCATCTCTGTAAATGCACCCAACAGACTGCTCTGGGCCAGTGCCCCCACCACCATCACCTGCGTGAGGTGGGGGCAACACCCACCCTGCTGAAGGCCAGCAGGAAATCCAGCCGGGATGTATGGGGTACTGAGTGCCGCAGTTTCCAATAGACCAGGTGTTCCCAGGCGAAGACCAGCAGGGCCAGCCCCATGGCCACCAGCAGCATGTAGAAGACGCCCGCCATGTTGTCGATGTCTAGCTTGCTGCTCATCACCTCATTCTTCTCGTTCTGGCAGATCCCCGAGAGCCACACTGTCTCCAGCTTCTGGGTCTCCCCTGGATGAAGCATGTTGGGCTCAGCAACCCTCGGGGTTGGGGTCAGGTGCCAGCCTTGTCTCTCAAGTGGGACCACACAGGAATATGGTCCACGGATCTCTGAACTGGGATAAAGGGAAGCCAAGAGGGCAGAGCCAGGAGTCCTGGGGTGGTGCTGTGGGCTAATGCGTCAGACTGCAAAGTCATTTGAACTGCAAGGTCGGTGGTTCAAGCTTACCAGTTGCTCCTTGGAAACCCTATACAGGGTCACTATGGGTCGGAATTGACTCGATGGCACTTACAACAACAATAAGAGGACAGAGCAGGGGTGGGCAATGCCAACCTTGGGGCTGTCCACTTGCCCAGTCCAGGCTTGTTGAACATGTCAGGTTTACCCAGTGTACCCATCCATCCACCAAACACTTGGGGATCAACCAGCTGAGGATCTAGCGAAGAAAGACCCCCCGAAGACCACAGCACACACACACACCTTGTTGGTGTTCTCTCTCCCTACCACGTGGCACTGATGGAAAGCAGGCTTTACTCTTATGAAATAAGATGGCGCACGTCTACACACAAAGCTCTCTCTGGATTTGGGGCAGGCTGGGCTGGAGTCCCCCAAGTGCCAAGCCAGCCTGGTCCCCTGCTCTGAGAGACTAGTCAGGTCTTCAAGACTACCTCAGACCATCTTGAGGTAGAAAGCATGTTGAGGGGTGCATACCGGGCCAAGGAAGGGCTCCCTTGGGGAAGACCGTGGAGAAGTCTTGGGGGAAGAGGTTCAGGCACTCTCAGCCTCTCTGTGTAGCCTGGACAATTTCCTGTCTTCTTACCTCTCAGATGTCCCTCACTCTCGTCCCTGCTCCCATCTTGGACACCCATCTCCTCCCCAGTCTCCATCCCATTGTCTCAGTACCACCCATACCTCCTTCCCAGGGCCCCAAGCTCTCAGCCCCAGAGACCTCTCCCTGCCCACGAGGCCCTGGGCCCACCCATGTCCTCGCAGTGTAGCACCCACCGTCCCCCAAGAACTGCAGGAGTGCCAGGTCGATGGGCCGCTTCCAGTGGGAATCTTTCTGCATGGCGATGCCGTAGCCAGTGGTGGCGAAGACCTTGCCGGACCCGATGGTGACCAGCTTGCAGCCCTCGTCCTTACCAGCCATGTAGTTGAGAACAGCAGCATCGTAGATAAAGGCATCCAGCTTCCTGGGGACAGGCGGAGACCTCAGGACCAAGAGCCATGCCAGGTGGGATCTGACAGGGGTCTGGGCCACGACATATGCTCTGAAATGCCAACTTCTTTCTCCCCAGAGGACAACCCCCTCTCCAGCCAGTCTTCCCTAAGGGCCAAAGATGGAGACAACCATCCCCTCGGGTCAAGGCTAAGCCCTGGTCACACCCAGCGCCATCTCCAGGCCAGGTGGTGGGTATCCGTTTTTTGTCTCAAGCTCCACCCTGCCTCAAGGTCTACCCTCCTCCATCTCTTCTCCTCTCCCACCCCAGGCATCCCACAGCCTCCCAGGATGTCCCCACCTTGGGGAAGAAACAGGGCTGAGGCTGGTCACTTGGGGGCACATGGACAGGGGGAGTCAGATGACAGGTGCAGGGCTGGGGGACAGGGGACCCACCCCATCTTGAGGCTAGTGAGTGCATCTTCTACAGAGCGCTGGTTGAACTTGACCATGTGGGTGTGCATGTCACGGTAGTTGCTGCGGATGTTCCGCTCCGTGCTGCCGTTGGGCACAGTGCCAAAGCGGAAGGGCGGGTACTGATCTTGAGGTCGCTGAAACTGCAAGCAGGGACCAGCAGCCACTCACACCCTGCCTCACACCTTTTGGTACCAAATGCTCTATCCCTACCCCAGCACCTAGCCCCTAGTCTGAACCTGTCAGGGACCAGAGTAGACTAGGCTGAGAGAAAAGGCTTGGTTTTCCCAATGCTGTAAAACTTTGACCTTGTGGTGAAAAAAATAATGAATAGGCTAGAGACTATCCGAGCCACTTGTGCAATGGGCTAAGCATGAAGCTTATTAACCACAAGGTCAGTGGTTCAAACCCACCCACCACTCTAAAAGAGACCGATAAGGCTGTTGACTTCTGTAAAGATTTACAGCCTTGAAAGCCCTGAGGAACAGTACTAGAGGGTCACTAAGATTCACAATCTGCCCGACGACAGTGAGGCAGGGAGAGAGACAGCACACCAGGGACAGTCAATAGCTTTAAATCATTTCTCCCCCTGACCCCCAGCCCCTCCTCATCAGACTCCCCAGCTTCTTCCTGCTCCAGCCTCCTCAAATTCCCCAGGCCCCGACTGACCTGTGTCTACCCACCCAAAATCAGCCCCTGCCCTCAGTGACCCCCACCACCACCAGCCATGGCCCCAGAACCTTCTTGTCACTGAGACCAGACACAGTATCGATATACTGCTCCTGGATCATGAAGGCGGCCAGGTTGGCGGTGTAGCTGGCGAGGAAGATAACGGCGAAGAAGGCCCAGACCAGGACCATGATCTTGCTGGTGGTCCCTCGGGGGTTCTCGATGGGCACTGAGTTGTTGAAGACCAGCGCCCACAGCAGCCACACAGACTTGCCGATGGTGAAGGATGGGCCCCCAGGCTCTAAGGGTAAGGGGGGAAATCAGTGGGGCCCACCCAGGAACTGGCTCCCCTTGCCTACCCAAAAGCCTCAGAACTCTGCTCATCTATCTCAGCCCTGTCCCGGGGGCAGGGGTGGGGAGAACTAAAACCCATTCCTGCCATCCTTGCCACGCCCCGCCCCGCCCCAGAGCTCACTCCTCCCAAGCCCCAAGCCCGTGGAGCTTACTCTTCCCGCTGGTGAGGTTCTGGCTGTAGCTGACCGGGCTGAAATACTCAAACACGAAGACGGTGATGGCTACCACAGTCAGGCACATGACAAACATCATCACCCACACAGCTGGGCTGTAGGGCTCTGGACACAGAGGGAGCGGCTGCTCAGGGTGCTTGGGCTCACAGTCCAAGCAGGGGCCCCTCAATTCTGTGGACTCAGCTAGCGGGGTCCTCCCAAAGGTCTACAGCCCTACCCGTCTCCCCCTTCCCTCTGAACTTGGACAGCCCACGCAACCCCACCTTAAAAACCTTTGCTTCCACTCCATATAGCCCCTGGATCTCATGCCTCCTCTCTCCTGCCCCCCTTGACCTCCTCTCACTCTCCGTGGACCCTATCCCCGCAACCTGATCCTACAAAGCAACATCCCCAAGGGTTATGTGTTCATTCTCCCCTCTCTATCCAGCGCACTGACCACACTCTCCTGCCTGGACCTGTTTCAGAACTTCCTTGCCTGGGCCAGTGAGGAAAATTTGGTGGGTCTGCCTGGTCAAGCTGTATTCCTCATCCTACTGAGAAGGAATGTGAAGCCCAGGGAGCCAGAGCGTCTCTAACAAACCATTTCAGTCTCCTTGACTAAGGAACCCGAAGTCGTGGTGTGGCGCTGTGGGCTAATGTGTCAGACTGCAAAGTTGTTTCAACTGTAAGGTTGGTGGTTCAAGCTCACCAGCTGCTCCTTGGAAACCCCATACTGGGTTGCTATGGGTCAGAATCAACTCGATGGCACTTAACAACAACTACCACAGGTCCTGGTGGCAGTGAGTTAGGTGTTGGGTTGCATACTGCAAGGTCAGTGGTTCAAACCCACCAGCAGCTCCGAGGGGAAAGACGAGAAAGATTTACAGCCTCAGAAACCTTAGGGAGCAGTTCTAGCCTGTCCTGTAGGGTGGCTATGAGTGGGCTGGTTGGTTTACTGCCATGAGAATTGGCCCCTTTGATGCAGTGAAATCCCTATGAACCTAAACAGGTTCAGTGACTTGTCTAAGGTCACACAGCAGGAAGAGGCGAAGCCGGGGCTCCACTCAGGTTAGCTCAGCACCCTGCTTGCTCCCCACAGAGCTTCTCCCCTGGCTCCCCTGCTTCTGCACCCTCAGCTCATCCAACAGGACCCTCTAGACACAGTCAGTTTTCCCAGGGTTTCCTGTCTCACAATTTATCCAGCCCCTTCTCCCCTACCTGACCAGACTTGGAGTCTTCCCTCTCTACTCTTCTCACCTACAGCTTGCTCAGGCCTCCGACCACCCTTCCAGGCACCCAGAACTGCTGTGTTCACCCACTGTGCCACCCCAAATGCTTCCTCTCCACCCCTGCACAATATCCCCCCCTCCTTGGGAGCTCTCCCAACCTGCTAAGCCTCACCCAGGAAGGCTGAGGGGGAGACGGTGCCATTGCTCCGAGCCACCATAACGCTAATGCCCGTCTCCACGAAGGGTACAGAGAAATCCACGATCTCCGAGCGCTCCTCGTTGATGGTGAGGGAACCCATGGCCATATCCGCCCGTCTGTAGTACACCTGGGGTGGCGGGGAGCAATGGGACCACGCCCGGCTGGAGCAACCACAGGTCAGCTCAGCTCTTCCCACCTGGGGTCCTCAGAGTTCAACAGCCAGTACTAACCAGCCCAGAGGGCATCTCTGGTGACAGCTAGTCTCCCACTAGGACCACACCCCAGGGTACCACAGATGATAGCTGGGAGACCCGGGGGGTCCTATATCACTGATCCCCAGTCCTGGAAGAAATGTCTGGGGAACATCTAGGGGCGACTGAGTCATGTGTGGGCAGGTGGGGTGGGCTCAGGGCTGGCCTACCTCCCCGATCATGCCGTTCCACACGCCACGCACCCTCTTGCCATGCTTGCCGTTGGTCACCAGGTACAGGTCATAGGAGAACTGGACCACCTTGGACAGCTTCTTGAGGATGTCGATGCAGAAACCCTTACAGCAGAGCTTGATGTAGGGGGCTGCATCACCGCTGTGGCCACAGCCACCAAGAGACGACCCGTCAAGTATCAGTCTGGGCTGTGGACACCCTCCCCCAGCCCCAAACACAAGCCACACACAGCACCTGATGACCACACACGACACCTAATGACCACACATGATACCCAACCATCACACATGACACCACCACTCACAGCCCATGATCACCACACGTGACACCAGACCACCACACACTGCACCTGAAGGTGTGGTTGCTCTGTCTGCGGCAGGGCACAGTGTTGGGTACACAGCCGCCCGTGCCGGTGTCGGGGCTCTCCACAATGACAAAGGGCCGCTCTTCCAGCGTGGCCACCGTTAGGTGCCGGCTATCCACCACGGGCTGCAGAGAGGCACTGTAGCGAGGCCACACCGGGTACTTCATGTGCAGGACACCATGTTCCCAGCGTCCCACCTGCGGAGGGCAACTGGCCTCAGCCCAGGCCCCCAGTCCTATCCCTCCCTCACCTGGGGAGGTTTGGAGCCTGCTGGCTGGAGAACACAGGAGCCAGTGACAGGGGTAGGTTTCCTCCTCACACAGCCTCTCCCCCCTCCACTCCCTCCCAGTCAGCACACTTCTGCTGACCCAAGGCACCTTCCTAAACCCCAGACCCAAACCTCCACACTGCACAACTTCCCCGTGAGCTTCCGCAGAGTGGAGCACACCAGGCCCTTCCTTGTCAGTCTCCACAACCCCATCGCAACCCCTAAAAATGCCTCCTGCCTTTACCAGGCTGATACTCTCGGTGGGCTCCTACTCAACCCTGCACAGCTCAGCTCAGATGTCCCTTCTCCTGGGAAGCCTGTCTCAGCTTCCTCCTTTGGTGCTGGTGGTGGTTTGGGTGCTATGGAGTTGGTCCCAATCCACAGTGGCTCCACATGACAGGGTAGAACTGCCCCATAGAATTTTCTTGGCTGTCATCTTTACAGAAGCAGATTGCCAGATTTTTCTCTTGCTCAGCTACTGTGTGGGTTTGAACCTCCAATCTTTTGTTCAGCAGCCAAGATGCTTAACTGTCATGTCACCAGGGCCCAGGAGACCTAATGCCTGCTTCTGCTTTCTGGTCCCAGAGTGCTTTGCCCACATCTCTACTCAAACACTGATCTGGCCATATTCTATTCGTGTGACATCAGTCTGGGCAGCATGAACATGGGTTACTTCTCCAGGGGCAGCACTGGGTCATGAGAATAGTAAGTTCTGTAGTAAAGCAGGGACAGGGCGTATGGGGACCCCAAAGCCTCCCAGAGGAGATGTTTCAGCTGAGTCCTGAAGAATGAGAGATGGAGGAGAAGCAGAAGGGACTCTCCGTTATCTGTGGGCGCAGGGGGAGCTGGGGACAACATGAAGGAAACCGAGGGCCCCTGGGCTCACCCCCTTCTCACCATCTCCCAGAGGCGGTGCCGGTTGAGAGCGATCACAACCATGGTGGGCTGGACCAGGTACCCACCGGGGCTGAAGGAGAAGTCTCGGCCCTCCCAGGTGACATTCAGCAGGTGCCTGCAACGGGGGACAGAAGCACAGTGGCCCCTGCTTGCAGCCCTGCCTCGTCCAGCCCCTGACCTCGCAACCACCAGCATTACTGATGTTTCCCTGCTATTGGCCTCCTTGATCCTCAGCTCTTCCCCACCCTACCTGCTGTCTTTTCATATAAAAAAACTAAGACCCAGAAAGGTGAGGCAGCTTGATCTCAAGCACACAACTAGCAGGAGATGTCCGCCAGCAAACCCAAGCTCACTGCCATCCAAGCGGCCATCGAGTGTCCCCCAGTCCACCCGGGTCCTGGGCAGGTGCCCACCTGTAGAAGGCCTCCCTGGCAGGGCTGATGGGCCCGGGGTGGCCACGGCAGTCTCCAGCCGCAGCGGGAAGGGCCCCGTGCTGGCGTTGGTAGCTGTGGGCACCCAGAGCCAGGATAGCCACGCCATCGCGCACCTTTTGGCGCAGATTGAGGCGCCAGCTCTCGGTGACCACGCTGATGAGGCCCACGGGGAAAGCGGCGGGTGGCGCGTCGGTGCTGCCCAGCGCTAGGTTGGGTACCAGCCACACGTGCCCAGGCCCCACCAGGCCGGCACGTGCCGCCTCAGCGAAGAGCACCTCGGCCTCATCACGCGAGCAGTAGGCCACCAGCACCGGGGCGTCGAGCTGGCGCAGCATCCGCTGGGTGTGCGTGCGCGCCCCGCCCGGGCCCAGCTCTAGCGTCAGCACGTCCAGCAGTCTCCAGCCCAGGTGGCCGGCGTCGGCGACGGCGCGCACGCCCTCGAGGAAGAGTGCGTGGCCTGGGTGCAGACTGGTGATGACTGCGAACGCGTTCCAGTTGTACTCCTCCAGCACCTTGAAGAGCACCTGCAGCTGCTGCTCCAGGGACACGCCCAGCTGCAGGAAGGCGGAGCCCGGCTCCTGGGGCGGGACCGGGGCGGGGCCTCAGCTGGGCGGGTCAAGGTCAGCCCGGCCCTGCCCAGCGCTCCTCCCCGACTCCGGGTTCGGATCCCAGACGCCCTTGCGCGATGCTGCCGGGCGCCCGGGACCCCCCAGGCCGCTGCGTGACACCCCCAGCCACGACGTGGATCGTGGACAGTGCTTCCTGCCCTGCTGCCCGCTAGAACCACTTGGGGAGTTTTCACAAATACTGGGACCCAGTGCCGGCCAGAGAGCCAGCAGCCTCTGGCAGCTTGTTACCCAGGCCTGTTGAATCAGAATGTCGGAGGGTGGGACCCAACAACCTGGGTTTTAACCAGTGTTAACCAGTTAAACTTCAGGGGACACTTGAACCCTCTCGTTCGACACCCGCTACCCCACACCAGCTGAATCTCAGAAGTGGGGCATTGGGCATCTGTCTGTATTTAAAAAGGACATGGATTGGCACAATGGCAGCATCACTGGGCTCAAACGTAGCAACGACTGTGAGGTTGGCCCAGGACCAGGCAGTGTTTCGTTCTGTTGTGCATAGGGTCGCTATGAGTCTGTACCGACTTGATGGCACTTAACAACAACAAACATTTTTTTTTTAAAGTACGGTGAGGGTTGAGAACCACCGTCCTGAGAGCTAAAGTCAAGACCCAAAGATGTAAGGAAGGTGCCATCCTCCACAGCGCCCTCAGGGGTGAGAAAGTCCCACCTCTCCACGCCTCTGTCACCACAAAAGCTGATGCCTCGGCGAGTGCTGTCACCTCCTAACCGTGGCATCCCTGCTTCCACTCTAGACCCCCAAAAGATTTCACCACATGTCCTCATCTTTAACAACAACAAAAAAGTGAATCAGGGAAAACGTCACAAGACAACCTAGTTTTTTCAACAAGCAAATTGCAAGAGAAAAGAGAAGTCTGAAAGGGGACAAAGGAGGAAGATGCTTGAGATTAAGACACTAGGAAGGCCTATCAATGACTCAATGTGCCGACCTAGTTCAGCTCCTGATTCAAGCAAAGAAACTTCAAAACCAGCATGAGTGACATTTATGAGGCAATATGGGAAATCTGAGTACGGACTGGATATTTGATCATGTTAAGGAGATTTTTTATGATTTTGTGGATACAATAATGCAGGATGGGATTTTTTGTTGTTTGTTGTCTGTAGTTCGTGATAGTTCCGGTTACAATAATAGATATCTGGGTGTTGCTTCCAATAACCAGAAAGTGGAGGGAGGTGAGAAGAGAAGGGTCAGCCAGGGGTGGATGCTGGGCACATAGGAATTTTTATTATACTTTTCTAGTTTTATGTTTAAAATTGTCCATAATAAAAAATAATTTTTAAAAAGTTAAGGCAAACCAGGTTGTTCTCTCGTCTTCCCACTTCCAGTAAAACTCAAATGTCTTCCCATGTGGTCAGGGTTTCTCATCCCTCTCCTGCCACATAATCCCTACTGGCCACTGGCCAGCCCCACACCTTCTCTGGGTTCCTCCAAAGCTCCCAGCATCTTCCCACCTCAGGGCCCACATTCAGCCTACTCCTCATGACTTGAAGGTACACCGCTTCTCCAGGGCTCAGTGAAGACATCATTTCTTGAAAAATCTCTGACCATCCACCCATCCAAAATTGCCCAGAGGGCTCAGCCTCATACCTATGTCCCACCCAGCCCTATGACCCTTGGTTGGGAGCCCACCCAGAGAAGGGTAGAGAAGTAGAGAGAAAGTGGGCCCGGAGCATGCCCATCACAGCCAGAGGTAGACTTGCCACCTCCCCCTAACCTCCTCACTGGATGGACACTCCATAACTGTGAAAGCTGCCCAGGCTTGTATTGATGAAATCAGCATTACCACCCAGCCTTCTCTTTCCTCATTCATGTTATACCCTCAACCTTCTCACCATCCCACCCAATGCCAGCTTCCCAGGACCCCAGTCTCTCCCTGCCCCACCCTGTGTCCCAGAATGCAGGCTCCACCTCAACCCACACCCAGCCCCAGTGTGCTCTGGGCCCAAGAGACAAAGGGGACATAGTATGGCAAGCACCTTGGGAGTGAGGACCACAGCAGAGCCTCCACTGATGCTGAGGATGGGCACTTGGGTCTGGGACGAGATGAAGTCAAGGATCTGGGCCACAGCCTCGGTGCCCACGTTGTCCTCAAAGACAATGCCATGGACGTGGGTGGCACCCAGGAGCGCACAGATCTGGGTGAGGAGGCTGCTGGGGTTGGTGTTGTTGACCCCTACGGTGAGGGGCTGGATCTCCAGGGGCAGGTCCAGGAAGCTCTGGGGGGTGAGGCGGGCACGGGCCTGGGCCTGGAATGGCCCGGAGCTGCCAAACACCACAGCTATTGTCACAGCCTGCTGGCCCTGCCCCAGGCCTGGCCCCGTCCAGGCACCCAGGATGGAGGTGAGCAGCAGAGCTGGCCCCAGGGTCCCTCCCATGTCCACTGGAGGGTCCTTCAGAGAAATCAAGACAGGAAGGAGACAGAGGCAGACAGACAGACAGGAGACAAAGGCCCAAGTCAGAGGACACCCACCCAGAGGATGGAAGAGAGAGAAGGGAAAAGAGAGGGAGACAGACCAACACAGACAGACAAAGAGAAAGAGAGGTTAGCGGAACATCCTCAGGGCATCCCAGAGAAGACGGGCTGGAGTGCTCACCACCCTCCTTTCTACTTGGCTAGAAAAGTCAAACCACAGTGAAGTGCTAGGCTGGTGCTTAGGGGCACGGATTTGCATCGAACAGACCTGAGTTCAAGTCTCAGATCTGCCACTTCCTTGCTGTTTCATCTTGAACCAGTTGCTTAATCTCTCTGAGCTACGGTTTCCTGCCTGGACCTACCTCACTGGAGAATTCCTGGCTGTGTAAACAACTGATAACCGAAAGGTTGAAGGTTCAAGTCCACCCAGAGGCGTCTCAGAAGAAAGGCCTGATGATCTACTTCCAAAAAATCAGCTGTTGGAAACTCTGGAGCACAGTTCTACTCTGGGGTCCCCATGAGTTGGAATGAACTCAATGGCAACTTTTTTTGTTTTGACCTAATCGGAATGTGAGGATTTACATGAGATCATCGTCATTAGCATTCTCATCTTCCGATGACAGTCTCTCAGCCAGGTGAAAGATGGTAGCTTTTAGAACCCGCACCCCCCTGCCCTACTCCATCCTCATCCTCTCTGCTCCAATCTAAACTGTGCCAAATCTTCCGTGACCTGCTCCCCAAGGAACCGAGGGACACTGGACACCTGCCACCCTGGTCTCTGTGGCTGATTAGTATCAGCTCTTCCAGCACAGAGGTGTGACATCGCTGCCTTATCCAGAGCTCCAGCCGTCTGAAACTGGAGGCATCTTGGATGTAAGCTGCTTCCCAAGCCCTGGTGTGCTGAACCTTTGGAACCTAACCAAGGGCCTGATGTGAATTCCTGCTGGTCAGCGTTGCTTTGGATTGGCACCAAGAACCAAGCCTGTGAGGGTAATCTGAGTCCTGAGTGGTACCCACTGAAGTGGCTCTCCCTCCTAGCTGGTCATCAGCCATAGCTCTGCCACCTGCGACATCTCTCCCTTCTGAAAAATCAGGTATTGCAAACCCCATGGAGCAATTCTATTTGACATACATGGGACCAACATGCCTGCTTCCAAACCCCAAAAAAACAAACAAAGCCCACTGTCACTGAATTGATTAGAACTCATAGGACACAGTAGAACTTCCCCATAGGATCCCCAATGCTGTAAATCATTACAGAAGCAGACTGCCTTCTCTTTCTCTCTCAGAGCCCCTGGTGTGTTCAAACCATTAATATTTCAGTTAGCAGTCAAGCATTTTAACCACTGCATCAGAAGGCTCCTGCTCCTTCCTCAGACATGCCCAGAAACCTCACCCCGGGGCTAGAGAAGATGTACTGGGCCGGCTCTAGCTTTCTCATGGGGACATCTCTTTGACTACCGCCTAATTTCTTTCTCTTTTTTCTGTCTAAAGCTTAATTTCTTGAGACTGATACATTCAAGGGCTTTCCCAGGGCTCTAGGTCTTTGGAAGGAAGCAGAGAAGTACAAGAGGTCCTCAGGGAACATTCAGGAAACTTTCTCCTCTTTTCCTCAGGGAGACCATAAGCTGACTGTTGAGCTTCGAAATCTAACTGGAAGTATGTTGAACGCCTTCTGTACCGTAGGTACTGGGTGTGGAACGTCAGTCAGTGAGGATAAGACATGGGCCCTGCCCTCCAGGAACTTGGAGAGTACTGTGCAAGACAGAAGTGACTATCCTTGGACAAACTAGGGGCAAGTCTGAGGAATACACACTTTACTACTTGCACCTCCAACCTGCATTTTCCACCAATATCCTGCTGTCCCAGTCTCCCCCATGTAACTCATTCATCTGAAGGAATGTTGTTGTTGTTAAGTGCCGTCAATTTGGTCACGACTCCTAGTGACCCTGTAAAGGGTTTCCGAGGGGTAGCTGGTGGGTTTGAACAGCCAACCTTGTGTTTTGCAGTCTAGTGCTGATCCTACAACACCACACCGTCAGTCCATCTGAAGGAGTAAGGGTCTGATAATAGCTTAATGTGTTGTTATTCCCAGGAGCTTAACAGCAGTCCAAGCCTCAAGCTAAGGTGCTGGATGGTGGCCTTTCAGGCTGAGAAGACAAGATGGTTGTCAGGGAGGGAATACACAGTCCTCACTGTGCTGCCGTTGGAATCTTCCCACATGTATGGTCTCCAGGTACGCGGACCGGGAATGTCAGCCTGAATCTCAGTTTGGGAGGAACTCCTAAGCAATCACTGAAGAGAGATTTTAATTTTAACTCATGGCCACAGCCCTCTAAACTCTTCTCTGCGCTCACACCCAGACCCCACAGGAAATTACACATACTGCAGGGTTCCCTGCACCCCCAGGCTCCCAAACGTATGTTCCCTGCCCTCAAATCTCCCCTCAGCTCTCAACTCTGAGCATCAGCTTTGCCGTATCCAACAGAGTAGCCACAAGACACATGCAACCACTAAGCACTTGTTGTTATGTGCCGTAGAGTCGGTTCTGACTCACAGTGACCCTGTGCAGGGTTTCTGAGGCTGTAAATCTTTATGGGAGCAGAAAGCCTCATCTTTCTCCCCCAGAACAGCTGGTAATTTTGAAATGCTGAATGTGAGATTAGTAGCCCACTACGCTAAGCATTTGGAATGTGGCTAATCCGAATTGAGCAAGGTTTGCTGTAAAGGAGCCCTGGTGATGCTGTGGGTTAAGAGCTGGCTTGCTAACTCAACAATGGGTGGTTCAAACCCACCAGCTTCCCCATAGAAGAAAAAGGAGGCAATCTGCTCCCATCAAGATTTACAGCCTTGGAAACCCCGGGGACAGTTCTACTCAGTTCTAGAGAGTTGCTGTGAGTCAGAACTGACTCGACATCAGTGGGTTCAGGTAACTGGAGAATACACACCTGATTCTGAAGACCGAGTATAAAACAAGAATGTAACAGATCTCATTCAGATTTTGTTGAAATAATACTTTTTTGGGTATATTGAGCGAAACAAAATCGACTATTAAAATGAATGTGAATGTTTCTTTTTTTTAAAAAAAGTGGTTACTAGAAAATGTAATGTTACATGTGTGGCTTAATTTATTTCTGCTGAACAGTGATGCTCTGGGTGGAAAAGCCAGGCCCTGCCCACTTCCAAAGGGACACTGCTCTCAAAGACACTCTCTAATGGAATCGTCCTCCTGACTTAGGGGTGGGGCAGGGGAACCTGATTTAGGTGTACTCCCACAGAGTGACCATGGAATGTGTCTTTGAGCTCTAAACAGCAAGAAGCAGATCCAAAGAATTCAGAGTCCAGTCTCAGGACCACCTCCATCTAGCCACCCCATGAAGCAGGAGGGACGCTCTGTCTCTCCACTGGCTTCCCTCTGCCCCCATCCCCCTATCCCACCTGCCCTCAGGCCTGAAACTTTCTTTGGGTCCTTTCTCAAGCTCCCCTATTCCTTGCTGCCCACAAATGAAGTTCAGACAGGGCCCCACACACCCAGATCCCAACCACGACACCACACTCAGGCAGTCTGCTGACTATTAGCCACACTCTTGGTCCTCCTTCCTGCTGGCTCCAAGGCCTTAAGGTCCTCTTCCCGTGTCCCTTCTCATCTATGTATTAACGTTCTAATGTCATTCAGAGCCCTTTCTAAGCCCCTCATGGGTACCTGCCTGGAGCCCACAAAGCTCTGGGCACAGGGGTAAGAAGATACTGGGTCTCGGGAGACAGGTCCTGGTCAGTGCCCACCAGCCCTCATCTGCACCTGGGGGTGCTGAACTGATGTCCACCCAGCTGTGGGCCCGGGGTTTGCTCACCTGCCAGGCTCCTCCCCACAATGGACTATGGTCCCTTGCATAGAACCGTTTCCCTTGCATAGAATCTAAGCGCTTAGAGCTTCTCTCTCTCCATTCAACCCCCAAATCTCACCAAGCTCCCAGGAACAAACATGTCCACGTATATATTCACGCATCAGACATTTCATTTAGACTCCGCCTTTCCCAAACCAGGGACCTTGGTCTCAGGAATCAACACCACCCACCGGGGGCTTCTGGAGTTTCTCAGAACCCACTGCCTCTCAGAAGACGGCCCTCCTGTGCCGTCGGGTTTCCCTCCCTCCTTGTGGCGGAGCTGAAACCTAAGCCCAGGCGTCCGGGGAGAAGACCCCCCACTATCTTGCCCCCGCACGGCCCCTAGTTCTCTCTTCTTGAGGCCAATGCCGCCGCCCCCGGGGGGTGGCCCGCCCACTCCCCTGACAGGAATCTCTTACTCTCGGGCTGTGAAGTTCGGGGTATTTTTAGGCCGGCGATAAATAATTCATAGGGAACGTGGCATCAGGCTCCCCTCCGCGGGAAGAGGGGGCGCAGGCGGCGAGAGCCACCGTCACCCGCGGCTCAAGGACACTAGCTATGCGGCGGCGGCGGCAGCGGCGACAGTGACTCCGGGCGCGGGGACCCAAGCCACGCCTCCTGGCGGTCAAATTTGACACCACGTCCTCCGCGCCCCCCGCCTCACTGTTGCCCCCTGTTGGCGCCCCCAGCTGCCGGGCCCCCAGGCCCTACAATCCACGCAGGACCGCGACCCCAAACCACCGGAGTGGGGGTAGCCTAGGTCCGGACTGTCAGCCCAGTACCAAACCAGATCTGCCCGGGGGTCCGGAGAGAACCCAGAAGTCTGATTTCCTACCAATTCGCCCCCCCACATTTCTGTTCAACCAACAGGTTGGACGCTGGTAACCCGGCCAAGGAGCTAGACGGGCTCCGAATTGCAGCCGTGGGTAGGAGTAGATCAGTTCCCATCCACACCGTCCGGTGCGCCCGGGCGGCGCCACCATCTGAGTACTAGGGAAGCCAGCAGAGCGAACAGCTGTTAGAATCAGGGTGGGCTACGTGGCTGACGCCAGGGCTCTAGCGACAGTCCCTTCTCCACAGCAGGGCCTTTGGAAAGGCCGTATTCCTGGGAGGTTTTCAGACTGCTCACTCCCTCTTCCCGTTGCATCTCCCCTGCCTGCTTCAGGCCCGGGCACTAAACGCCATCCGCGGCTGGAGGCTCCTGGCTTGCCTGCCCAGCCGTCGGGAATCTTGGTGGAAGCCCCGGGAGACCAGAGCAGCCCACTGTGGCTGCAACCGCCGCCCACAGCCTAGGGCGTACAGCTCTTCCTCAAGCCCTTCCGCCCTCTCTTCCTGCCGCCTTCTGGAATTCCTGGGTCCCCCGGGCGCGAAGTCACCATTTGGGAAGAGCCCTCCACCCTGGGATACCCACGCGGATTGCCCGAGGTCAAAGGAGGGAGCGTTCTTTAGGGGAGAGAGGAAGAGGAAAGGACGGCGACCCTTAGGGGAGGCACACGGGGAGCGGTGGGGGTGAGGGCACACTCCCTCAGGGGGTGCTTCGCAGCCAGGCTGGAACGCAGGCCGCCTCCTGGAGCCACCGCCGCTCTTCTCACGCTCTCAGCTCCTTGGCCGAACCCAGCCGCGGCCCTGGCTCCAGGCCCCGCTCCTCGCCAGGCGGCTTCCAGCAGCAACAGTTGGGAGGGCCGCAGCCCGGCCTCCCGAGTCCCCATACAGCCCCCTCTCCGCGGTGCCCCGGCGCCCAAAGTAGGAGGAGCAGGAGCGCCCCGCGACCCAGGAGACGAAGGTCTTGGGCGCCTCGCCCGCGTCCTTTTCGCGCATCCGCTAGTCTTCGCCTGCCCCCCACCCGCCAGATCCAGGCCCCAGGCCCGGTTCCCGAAGGTCCCGGTTCCTCCTCCTGCGCCTCGCGGTCGCTCCCCGGTTATCCCGCATTTATCTTCGTCGCCCTTGTCCGCGCAGCGCCAGAACGCAGTCCCAAGTTGGCGACGAAGTTGGCGCCCCCGCTGGCCCGCCCGCTCCTGCCGCCACTCACCGCGGGGAAGGGGCTGCGCCCGCGCCGAGAGCCCGCGCCGCCCGCGCTCCGAACGCCTCGCTCTGCCTGCGCTCAGCGGCACCCGGGCCGGGCGCGGGGAGCCGACGTCCGCGGCGCGACCTGGCGGGCTGGCCTGGCCCTTTCCGCGTCCTCCGTGGCCCGCGGACGCCCGGCTCCTCCCGCGCGGGCTGCGCGCCGTGCCTCCGGTTCTCAGGGCCGCCGGCCGACTGTGGCCGAACGCTCGCGCCGAGCAGCCCGCCCCACCGGGGCCGCCGCCTCCGCCCCGCCCCGGCCGGCGCCCCTCCCTGCCGTTCACTGCCCGCGGCCCCTCTCCAGGATGGGGTGTGCTCTCGGAGCACAGACCTCAGCTCCGACTCTCGAATAAGTTCGGCTTCAGAGAAAACAGCTGCCGCCTGGAACCTAGGTTCGAGCCCAAGGCTTAGCGTCTGTGCGACTCTGAGTGGGCTCCTGTCTAGGTTTCCTCAGTCCCGTCCTGGGGGCCGGAATAAAAAGGATGAGAGCACTTTGTGAACTGCTTAGCACCCCGGACAGAGATGGAAGAAGAGTCTTAAAGGGCTTGGGATCTGGTTGGAAACGAAGGAGGCGGGAAGGGGTTGTGAGCAGAGAAGGGGAGGACCGGCCAGAAATACCCAACAACAGGGAGAGACTGGAGGTAGGTGCTCCACACATTCCTCACCCCCACGTTTTCTGTTCTCCCACCACCTTGAGTCCTCCCGTTTGATCATATTGGGGATAACCAAGCAGTGGACCCAGCAACAGGCAGGCTGGGGTCTCCTCCAGGGTTCCCACAGAGTGAGCAGAAGGCAGGCAGGCAGGCCACAAAAACAGCAGGGTCAAGCAGAGGGAGGGTGGGTTCCTGGCTTTGCTGCCAAGCCCCCACAGGCCCCCCGCAGAGTTCCAGCGCCAGGAGCTGGCTCAGCAGTGCCACCTGGCGCCCAGAGCGGAGCTGCAGCCAGAAGGTGACCTCGAGGCCCCAAAAGAAGTCACACATCACCCATGGCCCTTGGTTGCGGTTGTTTATTTTCAGCATGTTCCAGATCTAGTGAGCCGCCATAGTCCATCAGGAGAGAGATAGGAGGGAGTAAAGTCAGTCCGTACCCCTGCCCATTCTGAACAAAGGTTACCACTATGCTGAGAGCTAGACCCAGGTGGGCAAAGGTAAGCTCAGAGAAGGAAGTTCTTAGAGGCCTCTGAAAAAGGGACACAGTCAAACCCCATACCAGGTGGGCAGGCCATGCAGCTGCAGTGCAATGTCTCCTCAGGCTGCCCTGTCCCTCCATTGCACAGCATAGCACCCATTCCCTGTAGGGCTAGGGCTGGGCTCAGCGCCCTAATAGCTGTAACATCTCCTGAGGGTCCACCAGCTTCTCGCGGGGCTTTCCAGCGCCCTGGCCCCGGGCCACCTCTTCAGCATCCAGCTTCTCCCAGTCCGAGAAAGAGACAGGCTGGACCCCTAAGCGAGTGGGGAGACAGTTACTATCACCCCCTTTTCCTCCTCATCCACTCCAGCCCAGACAACCCTCCAAGGAGTAACGAGGTCCAGGGGCTACCCAGCCCATCCCACCCCCCAGGGCCACAGCCTTGGGACGCGGACCTCGGCTGCTGAGCAGAGCCTGGATGGCTGTGTAGCCAGGCCTGGGGCCTGAGGGCAGCAGGCCATCGTGGAGGTCCTGAAGCAGTGCATGGCCAGTGAGGAAGCTGTCATTCATGGTTGTGCCGATGACACCTGTGGGACCCCGCTTTACCCAGCCACTGCAGTAGAGGCCTGGAAAGGGGCAACAAAGGGGTACCAAAAGAGGAGGTAGCTGTTCCCCAACACACACACCCTAAATCCTCCCCCAAAGCCCGGTTCAGTTGGGCCTACTGTGGCTGCTGGGTCACTGCCTAAGAACCTTCTTCAGCTGATTTTTCCCACACATGTCCCCCTGGTGACATAGTGGTTAAAGTACGCTGCTGGTAACCTGGAGGTTGGCAGTTTGAGTACTGGTCACACTGTGGGGAAAAGATGTGGCCATCTGCTTCTGTAAAGATAACAGCCTTGGAAACCCCATGGGGTAGTTCTACCCTGTCCTAGAGTCTCTAGGAGTTGGACTTGACAGCTATGGGGCTTTGGGGGTTCGGTCTCCCCTTATGTCTGGGTCTTCCTGCAGGGTAGGAACTCCCTGTAGATAACAGTTGGGTCTTGTCCATGTTCAGTTCCCACAGGCCCTCTGTAGACGTTTGCTGAATGAATGAATGTCTAGACAGGTACGTGAGTCATTTCATCAGATGGGGAGCTGCCTGAGGACAGGGCTGCCTTGTTAACCTCCAAACCCCAGCACTGAGCACAAGGTCTAGCCCAGAGCAGGCCTCAGGAAATGTTTGTTGAATGACTGTGTTGTCATCTCAGCTGGACTGGGAGCTTTTCCGAGGGCTGGGAGGAGTGTGAGGAGGGCACAGTGTGTAACACAGGCTGGACAGAGGACAGGATGAACATCCCCCAGAGACACCTGCCCCACGGTCCCCGCCATAACTCAGCACCCAGCCTTCTCACTCCCTCTCACCTGGCACATCCACAACTCGGCCCTCCATATTGGGGATGACCCCGAGTTTGGGGTCGAAGGGCACGCTGGGGTCTATGGGGCGGCTTTTATACCCCATGCTGCTCAGCACCAGCCCACATGGGAGGTCTTCCACATCTCCTACAGGCACTGCCCGGGCGGCCTCGCCGACACCCTGTTGGGGAGAGCATGGGCAGCAAAAGGCTGGGATAGGGGAACTTCTGAAAAGGGGGGATCTTTGGCTCCATGAGACTCACTTCTAGTTTGGTGACTGCCAAACGAATTCCTGCCGTCCGCTGCCCATCTGGTGAGGGCAGTATCTGCTGGGGGCTTCGAAAAAAGCGGAGGCCCCAGGCTCGGGAGGTTGATGCCTGGCGGGCACCCTCTTCCGGGCCTGGCTTTTCTGTGGCTGTCCGGAGCAGCAGTTCTGTCAGCCGTTTCCTCGGACGGGGGGCCTCTGTTGGCAACAAAGAACATGTCAGGGCCTCCCCTGGGCCTCATCCCTTCCCTTCCCCCCTCCTCCATGTCCTCTCTGACCTAGACCATCATCCCCTCCCTTGCGAGCTGGGGGGCCAGGTCAGGGCCCCTCACCCTTGATTCTATCCTGGAGGTCCAAGAAATCCACCGGGTTCAAAATGGGCCTGGTGCCTGGTAACTGAATCATCTCCCGCAGCTCCTTGGGAGGGTGGGGGGTGAGGAGGAGATCAGACCCAGAACACTGTCCACCCAGCCAGCCCAGATGGAAGACACCCCCATACCACTCCCATGGAAGGCACTGTGCCTCACATGCCCAGACTAGCTACATCTTCCATCCCGGGAGCAGCCATTCCCAGGAACTCTGCCCTGCCCACTCCCCAAAGAGTGACCCTCTGTTTGAGATACTGGCTCTTCCCCATCCTGCCCCAGCACCTTAATGGTAAAGGCCACCTGCAGAGGCCCACGTCGGCCCACTATCCACACCATCTTCACCCGGCTCTGCCTCAATACCCTCAGGGAGGCTGCTGTGATATCTGTTTTCTGGTACAAAAGAAGGGCCTTGAAGTCACCAGATACTGGCAGGGCAAAGCATATTCTCCCTTTGGTCAAAACCAGAAAGGATGGTATACCGAAATTGCCCCCACCGCGCCCCCTAGCGGCCAGATGGCGCAATGCTGCCAATTCTTCACTTGGCAACAAAAACAAACCAACCCTTGGTGATTGAGTTGATTTCCACTCATAGTAATGCGCCACAGGATTTTCGAGGCCGGAACCCTGGTAGCACAGTGGTTAAGCACTCAGTTGCTAACAAAGAAATTGGTAGTTCGAAGCCACCAGCCGCTCCTAGGGAGAAAGACGTGACAGGGTGTTTCGGGAAACATGACCGCCATGGAAACCCGGTGGGGCAGTTCTAGTGCCTTATAGGGTCGCTGTGAATTGGAATGGACTCAACTGTAATGGTTTTTCAAATCTTTTTGGAAGCAGACTGTTACATCGTTCTCGTGCGGAGCAGCTGGTGGATTCGAACCACTGACCTTTCAGTTAACAGCTGAGTGTTTAATCACTGTACCACCAGAGCACCTTTTGCAAATGGTTCCAATGAGGAGCAAACCAGGCCCACAGTCTTTCATTCAACACGTGTTTGCTAAGCATCTACTATGTGCCATATGGGGGTGGGGGGGTGGGTAGAGGGAATGCAGGGTCAGTCAGGGGTGAGCAGAATGGATACATGCTACCTTCACAGGGCTTTGGATCTGGTGAGGAGACAGATACTCATCACCTAACTACTTAGCTGTTCGCCAAATACTCATCAGTGAGTATAAGACTGTGCTGGTGACAGGAGCAGACAGGTCTATGAGAGGGTGTCACAGGGGAAATGGGCCTATCCAGGAAGCTCCTGGGTGGCTTCTTGAGGAAGGGACACTGAGCTGGGAACTGAAAGATGAGTAGAGTTTAGCTGGGTAGCACACAAGATAGTGGTGTGTGCAAAGGCCCTGGGGCATGCTGATGAGGAAAACTCGGTGTTGTGGGGAGCAGGAGGTGAAGGGGAAATGGTGTGTGCTGCCGCTCACCGGCTGCCTTTCCGAAGGCCTCGGCTGTGAGGAAACAGAGGCACTGAGCTCAGCATGGAAGGTGTGACGCTCCCCACTCCCGCCCCTGCCCCCCACCCCACCCTACCCCACCCCGTCACCTCCAGGTGCTCAGGTGGGGTCAGCAGGATCCGAGCCACGTCCAGAGCCACATTCCCCTGGCCCAGAATCACAGCTATGTCACAGCTCAGGTCGGGCACCAGCTGCAGGGAAGAGGTCTTGACAGGGTGGCCCTGGGCTTGACCCCAGTCAGACTAATTGAACCCTAGGTGCTCCACACCTGTTCCCCAGCTGGGCCTTTAGGCTCTCTACACTCACGAAGTCCACCTCACCAGAGGCTCAGCTCAGATCCCTCCTTCCCCACCTGTCCCACTACTTCTTAGAGGCCCTCCAAGATCGACCTCCCACCTTGGTCAGTTGGATGTCTCCCATCTCCTCATCTTGCCTGTCCCCCCTCCCCCTCTCTAGTATCCACAGATGCTCCTGGCTTGGCTCAGGGTGGGGAGAACGGGGCACCTGTATGCTCATCACCCATACTCACCTCCCGGTTCTCAGGAAGCCCATTGTACCAGCCCACAAAGGCCCGTGCTGGGATCACACCAGGCAGCTCCTCCCCAGGAATCCCCAGGGCCTGGTGGTCCTCTGCCCCGTAGCTCTGGGAAGAGATGACCAGCCCGAGGCCCTGAGCCCTTAGCTCCAGTGGGGAGGAGCCAGGCAGACCCTCTTCCCAGCTCCTCCTCCTTGACAGCTTCCATTCTGGCCATGCCACCTGTCCCTCCATGTCCCCATGGGCAGTCCACCGTCTGCACTCACCAGAACCACAGCATGGTAGGCCTCCCGCAGCTCCGGTACAGTCACATCCCTGCCCACCACCACGTTACCCCGGAAGGCACAGCGGTCAGAATGGGCCGTCTGGGTAAAGGTGTGGATGACATTCTGCCACCCCCCGCCCCATAGAGAGGGGATTAGAGGGGATGCTTGTGCCATTCCTCTTATCTTGACCAAAGTCCCCAAACCCCACCCTCTGTGCCCAGAGAGACCCACCTTCACCTCGGGGTGGTCTGGTGCCACGCCAAAACGCACCAGCCCAAAGGGCACCAGCTGCTTCTCGTAGATGTCCACATGTGCCCTGCTGTGGTGCTGGGGGGACAAGGGGGCAGCTGGTGGGGCCGAGGGAGAGGCTGAGCACCCCCCAAAGGGCCACTCCAGTACAGAGCTGGAAAACTTCCACCCCGTGCACTAGGAGAGCCCCTTGACTCCCCATCTTCCCACAGAGCCAGCTAGGGGACTAGGGAAGCACAAGCAGCAAAGAGAAGTGAGGTCAGATATCAAGAAGGACTGGTAGCCCATGAGGATTGTGAGGAATCTGGCCACAGCTTTCCCTCCACTGGGAGCTGTATCAGAAAAGCTTCTATCTGCATGGGTTAGGCCTAACACACAACCCTGCCCTGGAACTTTAGATGCTTCTAGGAATGGTCAGTTCGTTTGATAATCTGGGAAGAAACTTTTAGAATTCGTACCTGCCTTAACTCTAGTCTCCAAGACTGACTGGTTGGGAAGGGGGAGGCCTGGTTGTCAAGGCCTTCATGGGACAGAGGCACAATCAGTGCCCATGGAAGCAAGCCAAGAAGCCAAAGGAGACATTGCACTGAGCAAACCTGCTACAAAAGACCTCATGTAGGTATTGGTGTAGTTAAGTGCTATGGAGTTGGTTCTGACTCATAGCGACCAAGTGTAGAGTTTCCAAGGAGCGGCTGGTGGATTTGAACCAGTGACCTTGCAGCTCAAGCCAACATTGCAGTTGAATGCTTATCCTATAACACCACACCAGGCCTCCAAAAATGTCACTTTTGAAGACTAAAGTGCAGCTGAGCCAAGTCATGTTACTGTCAATTGCCTCATATACAAATAAAAGCTGAACAGTGAAGAGAGAAGGCCAGAGAATTGAAGCCTTGGAAGGGCAGTATTGGCAAAGAATGCTGACTATGCCACAGACTACCAGGAGGACACAGAAATCTGTGTGGGAAGAAGGACACTCAGGATGCTCCTTAGAAGCAAGGCCGGTAAGACTTGGTCTCACATATTTTGGGCATGTCGCTGCAGAAGGACATCATGCTTGGTAAAGTGGAGGGTCAGGGGAAAAGAGGAAGGCCCTTAGCGAGATGGACAGACACAGCAATGACAGTGAGGACAGCGCAGGACTGGGCAGTGTCTCCCTCTATTTTATATCACTGTGAGTTGAAACTGACTCAATGGTACCTAACACACACACACACCCCACCCTCTGTGCCCAGATGGTACCTAACACACACATACACAATCTTTGAGCAGATCATTGGGTCTTTTCTCTTGTGGTGGGTTTGAACCACTAACTTTAGTTAGCAGTCAAGTGATTAATCACTGCAAGACCAGGACTGCTTTTGACTCTTGCTGTTAACATCTCCCAGTACAATAGAGGTCTGGCCCTCCAGGCACCCTTGGTGCCCGCACTCACCCCCTATCCCCTTTTCAAGCCCCTTTTTACCACCCCTTCCACTCCACTGCCTGCACCCACACCCAGACTCTCAGCACTGCTTTTTGTACCCCCAGACTCTCCCTATCCCAGGCTCCCAGATCATCTCCCTCTACCCCACGGCTGAGGCACCCATAAAGAACACCGACTTTGAGGCAGGCAGCCATGGGCTTCAATCCCAGTCCTACCACAAGTGACTCTACTCTGGGGAAAGTTGCTTTGTTTCTCTGTAAAACTGAACATTTGTTCAAGGTTAGATGAGTAAGGCTTGCGGAAGTTCAATAAACGTCAGCTGTCATTACTATTACTGATGCTGTTGTTGAAAGGCATTGCCGGCTCAAAAACCTTCACTGGCTAAAAATATCATGCCAGAATGGTATCAGAACGACCTGATAAGGAATTTAAAAGAAGGATCTTTAGTTACCTTCAACAGATTGAGAGACTAATCAACAAAACTGCAAATAATATCAAGGAAAACACAGTCAAAGCTTTAGAAGAATTCAGGGAAACACTAGAAGAACAAATTGACAAAATAAATGAAAAATGAAAAATCATACAGAAACAGCAAAGAGAAAGCCAGAAGATTAATACTAAGACCTCAGAAATAAATGATACATTGAAAGGGCAAAGAAGTAGAATTGAATCAATAGAAAGCTGAATTCGTGAGCTTGGAGGCAAATCTCTCAATATTTATCTAAAGAATACTGGTGCAGGATAAGCACTTAGCTACAAGGTCAGTTTGAACTACAAGGTCAGTGGTCCAAACTCGCCAGCTGCTTCTTGGCAACCCTATACAGGGTCACCATGAGTTGAAACTAACTCAGCATTTAATAACAACAAAGGAACAATTTTTTTTTTAAAAAAAGCAAAAACCCACAGAAAGTCTAACATTTATGTAACACATTATCAAGAGGAATATGTTATGTGTGATTGTAATTCTAGAACAAGAAGAGACCAAAATAATCACCAAAAATTGTCAAAGAGTTGTTGGAAGAAAACTTCCCTAACATCATAAAAGACGAGAAGATATGGATTCAAGAAATTGAATGAACTCCGAACAGGATAGAGGCCAAAGTGAAAAATCACTAAGACATATTATAATTGAACTTTTTGAAACCAAAGCCAAGGAAACAATCCTGAGAGCAGCTCGGGAAAAAATGAAAAGTTACCTACAAAGAAGAACTAATAAACTCAGATTTCTCAGCAGAATCCATGCAGACAGAAAGCAACGCATGAAATATACAAAACTCAGAAAGAAAAAAATTGCCAACCAAGAATTATATACCGGGCAAAACTGTCCATCAAATATGACCGTGAAATCAGGACATTTCCAGATTAATAGAAATGAAAAGAATTTGTAAAAATCAGACCAAGCTTAGGAATACTATTTACAGGAGTTTTTTGGACAGAGAACCAACAACAGCAGATCACAACCTGAGATTAACATACATGACAATATCACCCAGAACTCCGCCCAGATAGAGAAGTAGTCAAAGGAAAACAAATCTACAAGACTGAAAATAGGGAACCAGAGATAGTTTGCAACAACACCACCAACAAAACCCCACTAAGTAAAAAGAGGCAATAATGGTAATCAAGAAGATTCAAGAGTAAATACATAAAATAACCCTAAAGCTACTTCCTGCTCCCTTAAAGATTTATAGCCTTGGAAACCCTATACAGGGTCACTATGAGTATGACCAAGCCTTACTCCTAGCCCTAGTCCAACCCACTATAACTGTACACTAAATGAAGTCCTAGGTCTAGCCTAGACCTAGACACAGTCCTAACCCTAACTCCTTAGTCCTAACCCTAACTCCTTAGTCCTAACCCTAACTCCTTAGTCCTAACCCTAACTCCTTAGTCCTATCGCCCAAAACAACTGTCTGCTGCCCACGGGACAAAGTGCAGATTACTCTGACTGGTAGCAACCCCTTAACACAATTTGACTTCGTCTTCATCTTCCTTCCTGCTATGGATCCTTCACTCCGACCACATTGCCCTCTCCAAGGCCACCTCTTTAATATGAAATCCAGTGGTCAGTTCTCACCATTCTCTCTCTGGTTGACTCCATCTTCCAGGAAACTGTTCCTCCTAACTCAGTAGGTCTCTACTATTCTTTCTCAGGCTCCTTTTCCTGTTACCTCCTGTTGTTGAGTTGGCCCCTGACTCCTGACAGCCACCAACACAGATGGGTGGGACCACTGTGATCCACAGAGTTTGAATTAGTTGATTTTCAGTAAATCGTCAGGCCTTTCTTTCCAGTCTTCTATAATCTGGAAGCTCCACTGAGAACTGTCCAGCATGCTAACAGCACACAAGCCTCTACTGACATGTGGGTGTTGGTTGTATATGAGACATGTTGTTATTATTTTTAAATGCTGTCGAGTTGGTTCCAACCCTTTATAGGGTTTCCAAGGAACGTCTGGTGGGTTTGAACCACTGACCTTGCGGTTCAAACTGACCTTGTGGTCTACGGCATTATCCTACAACACCACACCAGGGCGTACTGGTTGGGAATCGAACCCTGGTCTCTCACATGGAGGGCAAGAACTCTACTACTGAACTACACTGCTCTTGTGTGGTGCCTGGAATTGCCTGGATCTGGCTTTTCTACCAATGTCTTCTTTTTTTTTTTTGCAAAACATTACACATTTTTTTATTATTAAATGAGAAAATCTCATTTGTTCCATCGTCACATTGCTAGTCAGAGAAATTCTGCAGTGATGAAGAAAGTCAATGTTGGACCAACCAAAGTCTTCATTCCTACAACATTCATTTACAAAGAAATAATGTGTAACACAGCCCAACACTACATTCTTGGTTTTCTTCATATTGAAATCCTCCCAAAATCATCTTCTAGTGGGGTATTTTACTACATAAATATACTACATTATAGTTCTTCATTTTTACAATTCACCCCAAAGTGTATGAGAGATGTATCACACTAATATTTCTAAAGCTGTTAGGAAATCCCTCACGTATCATCGTCACCTGATGTGTTACTTGTTCTGCCTCCTCATTCTCAACAGTGGGTTTGAAAGTGATTGGGTGGGACCATGTAAATAAGGTGTACAGGACTCCAAGGCTGGGATTGGTTAGTTTTGCCATACAATTAGGCTTAAAAAGGAGCCATCTCAGAAGCGGGAACAAAAGATCCCAGGATTAAGAAGAAAAAGCATGCGTGAAGGTGAGCTCCCTAACTAGAAAAACAGCGATGGCATAGATTCAGAGCAGCTGTAGGGTGTAGGCTCATGGACTGAGACAGAGACCACAGGGCCACAAGGCTGAGAGGCCAAAGACAAGAGTGAGACATGCCTGCAGTCTGGCAGATGAGAGGCCTTCCTGACTGAAGAACTGCTGCATCCTGAGCTGCTTTTGATCCTGAATTGAACTCTGTTCACTTCCCTGATAAACCCCAAACTCATGAGTATTGTTATGGGCTCTGTGTGGCCATTGCAATGGATTAATGAGCCCAAGTGTGAAGTACAGAGTGCTGTGGGTGGGATAGTTGGTGTCAGAACAGGGTACAGAAGGTTGGTTGCAGGGCAGAAGCATGTCTGACCTCTGCGCCATAGGAATCGGCCTTGGGCTGATCTTGAGTTTGATTCTCCTTCCCCCTTGTGAAGTCAGACATAGCCCACACATGGTTTTGGCCATGATACCTTCCCTAACAAGGACATTATCTGAGGACCTTCCAACCTGAAGCCCCCTCCTTTCTGCCTCAGAGCACACTCCCCAGAGGTTCTCCTTCATTCCCTTCCTGTGACCTCAAGTTCCCATGGGATTGCTGATGGCATTCACTCTGTCCCACCCAGACCTCTCCTCCAGCTCCAAACCTGAGGCTCCTCAACATCCCACCCCAGTAACCTGAAACTCACTCCATGGAAACTGACTCCCTCCCCCGTCCCAGCAACACTTCTCCACTGATTCTGGGTTCCTTTTCACCTGGGTATCCACCAGGGGCCCAAGGCTCTGCCCTGACTCCCCCTGGCCCCATCTAATCAATTTCACACCCTCCTCCTTCCCGGTCACTGTTGCCCCTCCAACTCTCCCAGCCACCAGTGTCCAGTAAGTGATTCCTGAAAGAATGACCTGTAGGATGCATAAGAGAGGGCGCGGCTGTGAGCCTTCCTGCCCAGCAATAGGCCTGTGACCAACTCGCTCAGGCTCCGAGTCCTCATTTGTGAAGTGGGAGGCATACACCTGCCTGACAGGTTGTCATTAGGACGCAAAGGGAGCCAGTGCAGACCATGCTAGACCTGAAGTAATCACCACGGTCCAAGCTGCCCCGCACATTCCCGCCTCGGAAACACGGACAGTAGATTGGACATTCTCAGCAGCAAGGACAAGCTCATATTGGAGCTGTGGCCATTCCCCATTTCTCCCCACATTCCTGCCTCCTGCTACTGAGAATCGGCCTGAAGGCCTCCTCTCCCTGCTCCCAGGACAGGCCCAGCTACCATGAGCCCTCTCGGGCCTCCCAGGCTGACCTCACTGGTTCAGAGACCCAGGACCTCCTCCCACGTGGCAGTGTGCCCATGGCCTTGCACTCCACGCATGGGAAGCCATGTCCAAAAATACATCTTCCCCAGAAGGCTGTTTGATTGGCCCCACCATATCTAGCTCACTCTGCTCTGATCATTGCAATTAGCTTAATGAGTCTTGGTGGTGCAATAGTTAAATGCTTGGCTGCTAATGAAAGGTTGGTGGTTCGAGCCCAACTAACGGCTCTATGGGAACATGGTGCTCTGTAGGATAAGCATGGGACTATGAACCACAAGGGTGGCAGTTTGAGCCCACCAGCCACTCCACAGGAGAAAGATGAAGCTTTCTGCTCCGGTAAAGACTTACAGCCTTGGAAACCCTCTACAGGTTCGCTATGAGTCAGAACTTAACAACAAACCGTTCTGTGGGAGAAAGACCTAGCAATCTGTTTCTGTAAAGATGACATGGGGCAGGTCTACTTGTCACATGGAATCACTATGAGTTGAAATCGACAGGATGGCACCCTAAAACATCTGGGCTTCAAGTGGGTTTAGGTCACTTTTCAGCATAATGACCAAATCATTCTGGTGCTCAGGACTTTCCCATTTCAGCAATGAAAACCCCAAAGGCCTGGGCAAACCGGATGGTTAGTCACCCTACCAGTGTCTGTGTGTATGATGAATATATTCATATATTAATATATCCTTTCTCCCGTCTCTCTCCGAGGACACACAGAACCACTCCAGAGCAAGGCCACTGTCTCCTGGCTTGGTCAGCCTGGGTCTCTCCTCCCCGCTCTCCCAACTCTGAAATCTGACACAGAGGCTCAAGGGTAACCAGCAGCCTTGGGGCCCTGCCCCCCAAGGCCAATGCTGCAAACCTTGTGACCTTAGCCTTCACGTTGTTTGTAGTGTGGGGGAATGCACTGAAAGAAAGCAAGAGCTGGTGAGGGGACACAGAGAGGGGGCTAATATGACAGACATTGTACCCCTGTGATGTAGGATGTCAGGAACAGAGACAAGGCAGAGCAGACAGAAGGGAAGATGAGGGGCAGAACAAAGCCGCCCTGCAAGTTGCATAAGCTCCCTGGGACACTTGGCCAAGGAGTCGACCACCAATGACACCAACACACTCTCCCACAGTCCAGCATCCAGAGTGGGAGCCCCAGATATAGGCAAGGCAGCAGTTTACCTTTAGCAGATGTTGGGCTGTGTAGAAGCCAGCCGGGCCACTGCCCACCACACAGATCTGAGGCGTCTGCTCTTGTGTGGAGAACTGATGGCGAAAGCCTGGGGAGAGGAACAAACCTGAGACCAACACACCCTCTACAATCCCAAACCAACTGCTGGGTCCACCAAAAATTAGAACTTCCCAAGCATCCCCCTCACCTGGCCCCTCCCAGGCCTCTGCAGAGTCTACATCCCCAAGGGTTGTGTGTTCATCCAGGGTCCAACACTCACCCACGAATTTACTATGTCGCTGACTATGGCCTACCTAAGGCGCTCCGGTAGCGTAGTGGTTACGAATCGGGCTGCTAATCTCAAGGTTGGCAGTTCGAAACTATCAGCTATACCGCGGGAGAAAGATGAGGCTTTCTGCTCCGGTAAAGATTTACAGCCTTGGAAACCCTGTACAGGGTCGCTATGAGTCAGAACCACCTCCACGGTACATAACAACAACGGCCTACCTGACAGCCCCCAGCACCACTATAGCTGCCCTGGGCAGTAGTTCATCACTTTTTTTTTAATGGGGAGCTACTCAGTGAAGCCACCACCCGTCTGTCAGTTTGTTGTCTGCCAGTTTGTCATATTGTGGTGGCTTGTGAGTTACTGTGATTCTGAAAGCTATGCCACCGGTATTTTAAATACCAGCAGCATCACCCATGGTGGACAGGTTACAGATGACCTTCCAGACGAAGACAGACTAGGAAGAAGGAGTGATGAACTACTTCCGAATATATAGTCACTGAAAACCTTATGAATAGCAGAGAAACACTGTCAGATATAGTGCCGGAAAATGAGCCCCTCAGGTTGGAAGGCACTCAAAATGTGACTGGGGAAGAGCTGCCTCCTCAACGTAGAGTTGACCGTGATGACGTGAATGGAGTAAAGCCCATGGGAGAAAAGCCCGCAGGATCTTCATTTGCTGATGGGGTATAACTCAAAATGAAGAGAAACAGCTGTGAACATTCATTGAAAATAGGAACATGGAATGTACAAAGTATGAATCTGGGAAAATTGGAAGTTGTCAAAAATGAAATGGAATGCATAAACATCTTAGGCATTAGTGAACTGAAATGGACTAGTATTGGTCATTTTGAGTCTGACGACCACATGGTTTACTATACAGGGAATGAAAAATTGAAGAAGAATGGTGTTGCGTTCATTGCCAAAAGGAATATATCCAGATCAGTCATGAGGTACAACGCTGTCTGTGATAGGATAATATCCATGCGCCTAAAGGGAAGCCCAGTTAATACCACTATTATTCAAATTTACGTATCAACCACTAAAACCAGTGAGGATAAAATAGAAGAATCCTACCAACTTCTTCAATCTGAAATTGATCAAACATGTAATCAAGATGTATTGATCATTACTGGTGATTAGAATGCAAAGGTTGGGAGCAAAGAGGAAGGATCAGTAGTTGGAAAATATGGCCTTGGTGATAGAAATGATGCTGGAGCACGCATGATAGAATTCTGCAAAATCAATTATTTGTTCATTTCAAATACCTTCTTTAGACAGCATAAGAGATGACTATACACATGGACCTCACCAGATGGACTACAAAGAAATCAAATTGACATCTGCGGAAAGAGAAGATAGAAAAGTTCCATATCATCAGTTAAAATAAGGCCAGGGTCAGACTGTGGAACAGACATCAATTACTCATATGCAAATTCAAACTGAAGCTGAAGAAAATGAAAACAAGTCCACGAGAGCCAAAATATGACCTT